AAATGAGTGTTTTGTCTTTCTCATTCATCAGCTTTACCATCACCGCCCTTGGACCACGATCGGAGGTTTTTCCGACTCTGTGAGCCCTCTCCATCAGAATTTCCTGCTGTATGTCCAACTTGTTCTTTAGAACCTCCTTAACTTTACTCTCCGCATCCTTCCAGGTTTCTCCCACTGCCTCCTGAATTCCAGCAAATATCAAGTTTTTTCGCTTGGTTTGTGCTTCCAAGTATTCCACATCTCTGAAAATATTGCATATCTTACCAAGTAAAGCTTGAAGTTTGTTCCCATCAAGAGCCTGCTGTCACTCTGCTATAGGATCAATCTCCAGTCAGGTTGGACTTCAGAACATCAACACTAAAAAGGCCCTATCGCTGCTGCGCCTCCAATCAGAAAGTCACAAAAATCGGAGAAAGGTAGTTTGGTTTGAGTCCGATATTTAACAGTTCTTCTCTGGTAAAAGTAATCCGGGATGAGTTGCACAAGACCAAAAAAAACAAAGAAAAACACAAACACAAAAGAGCGTGGTTACCCTTGATCGCCATCGCTGCGGCCAGTTTATTATATAAAAAGTGTCACAGTAGTAATTTGGAATATTTTTCAGTTACAATAAGTTGTAACATTAAACACATGGTTATGAGGGATTTTAAATGATTTGCATAAATCAACATTGAGATGTGTCTGTGATATGTTTGACTGTTGAGCTTTAGGAATCATAGTGGAGAAATTAACTTTTTAAAGATCTAAGAGAGACAAATAAAAGTAATCTGTTCTGAGACATGTCTGAGATAACCGTGATGATTTAAGCTGGCCATATACAAGACCATTTAACAAGCTATTTCTCAATAGATACATTTAAGAGGATTGAGAAAATGGGTAAAGAGTGCTCATTTCTGTCTAGGAGAAAAAGACGAGATAAAAAAAGAGATCTTGGATTTTGCTTTACCAGGGGTTACTTCAGGCAACCAAAAACCCATTCAAAATACCCACTGATTTCAGGGCGAGGGAACCAGAAGTCCAAAAATGCTAATGTTAATAGGCACTCATCTTTAAAAAAAATTAAATATTAAACTGGCAATTCCTATAAACAGGAAATGATTAAAAAGTAACTTTGGCACATCTCAGTATCTAGTAACCATTTAGTAACCACTACTTGCCTAACACCTAACCCTGACCCTAACGCTTAACCTAACACCTAAACCATGTTGCCACCCTAAAATTCAGTGATTTCCTTGTGTGGACTAGCTTCTGGTCCCCACAAGGATGGCCGAGTCCCCACAGTGTGAGTTTGTTAACAGGTTTCAGTCCTCATGATGTAAGTAATACAAAGGCACACACACAAAGAAACATTTAAATGTTTATGTAAATATTGTATGTATAATCAAAAGCATGCATACAGTAAGCTGCACAAATAAATGTATCACCACCTATCCAGATGAATGCACACATGTTGATCCCTCACAAAGGAAAAACATTTTTCAAGAAATCAGTCAAATGTAGATCTTCATTAAAGCCAGGATACTGGGTGGCCCCAAGTTTAAAAAGCCAACTTGTCTTAAAATTACTCACTCAAAGAAGCTCTCCTGATCTATGAACCTGTATCTGTGTTGATTTGTTTAGGGTCCAGCAGGGCCACCAGGAATGCAAGGATCTCCGGGGTTTCCAGGTGTGGGTCTCCTAGGAGCTAAGGTAAGGTCCAGGTCATGTTGGGTCACTGCAACGGGCTTGTATTTGTTTTTTATTTTATTGCTTTCTTTAATAGAGAAGAATCTAATGTACTGGCTGTTCTTTGACTCGTAACTGTTGATTTTTGTTTTAGAAAAAGTGAAGCCATCATTATGATTATGGTTACAGTGCATATTGTTTGACTCTTAAGGTTCGTCTAGCCCTTCCTGTTCCCTGACCCCTGCCAGTATGTCTCTTACAGGGTGACAGGGGCTATGAGGGTCCTAAGGGCAGCCGAGGACGTCCAGGGGTAGGGTACAAAGGTGATCAGGTAAAAATAACTGTTGAATGCAGCTGGTTTTGCAGCCGCATACATTCAAAATCTGCGATGGTGTAAAAGATAACTGTCTGACCCACAGGGAAACACAGGAGCCCCCGGCCTGCCAGGTTTGGTGGGGTTTCCAGGGGAAGACATCCGAGGAGAAAAGGCAAGGGAGGATACTAATGGGAATTTTCTTCCCCTGTTTATCCTTTAATTGTGGAATTACATAAATTCAATATCAGATTTTTCTCTCTGGCTTTAGGGCGACGAAGGGCCCACTGGGCCTTCTGGCCCCTGGGGACCTGCTGGACTGGGTATAGTTGGACCAAAGGTTGGTTGAAGAAGATCAGTGGACAGCTGACAGAGTGCTCTTTACATCGTTTATAGAAATAAGTAATTTGTTATTTCAAGCAATAAAGAAGCTCTTAAAAACTCTCACTACACATTGCCTGCTACAGCCTCACTTGATCTGGAATGACCAGTTAGTTAAAGTTATATAGATGTTGTGGAAGTGGTAATTACTCAGTAAAAGTCCTACATTCAAAATTCTACATGAGGAAAATCACCATAGTGTTTATCAGCACAATGCTCTTAAGGTGTCAGACGTTTTTTTTTTTAAAGTAAGGAAGAGCACAAGATTAAAAAAAGCTAAATTTGGGGACATTCAGGGACTCTCCTAGTTTTATTGATGGATAATGTAGAACTTTATCATTCCATTAGTATACAACAGGGCACAATTCCATGCTGAGCCAAAGTAATTAGCTACATTACTACAAACACTACTGTCAGGAATCGGCATGTGCTGCTGCCGAAAATGTTTTTGGTGAACTCAATTAAATGGCCATATGAGGATACGTAACTATCTGTCTCTTTAATAAGAGCACAAATGCTTAACAAAACTGAGACAAGGCGTCAGCGTGCCTGCTGACCCGTGTAGTGGAAGGAACAGGAACAGGCTTGAAGTCGGCGTCGGTGCCCTGGCCAGCCCGCTCAGGGGCAGGATCAGGAACTGCAGCAAAGGTCCTGGCTGGTGGCTCACCATCGGCACACTGAGCAATCCAGGACCTGGCGGGGACGCTATTGTCGGCACACCTGGGCCCCCTGGCATCAGAGGGGACGTCACCGTTCCCCAGCTGGGGAACAGGCAGAGGCTGCTGCTGCAGGAACTGGGGCTGCTGCTCAGGCACAGATGCTGGCACCGGCACTAAGGCGGTATCGGCGCACTGGCCAACCCGCTCAGAAACAGGACCTGGAACAGACACAGGGACAGACCCCAAGGTCGTCCTGGCACACTGACTGGCTCGGGCCCTGGTGAGGACATCTTCAGCACACCAGGGTTTCAGGCAGTCAGCAGGGACACCACCGTGCCCAGGCCGGAGGGCCTGTAAGTAAGTAAGTAAGTAAATTTTATTTATATAGCACCTTTTCACAGACAAGGTCACAAAGTGCTTTACAAAAGAGATAAATAATATACATAAGCCTAAAAGTACTCACATAGCACAACACAATTTATAAAATGAGCAAACCCAATCAATTAAAAAACTGTCTAAATAAATGTGACTTCAGCTGTTTTTTAAAATCATCAATAGATTCAGTCATACGTAGAGTCAAGGGTAGGGCATTCCACAGTCTTGGAGCTACGACCTGAAAAGACAGGTCCCCCCGAGATTTAAAACGAGTTATGGGGACCACTAAAAGAGGTTGGTTTGCAGAACGAAGAGTGCGTTTGGGGGCGTATGGGGTCAGCAGATCGATAATGTACTGAAGCACCTGCCCGTGTAGTGCTCTAAATGTCAGCACTAAGATTTTAAAATCGATTCTAGCTTTGACTGGTAACCAATGGAGCGAATACAAGACTGGAGTGATATGAGCTGTTCTAGAGGTTCCTGTCAGGAGCCTCGCAGCTGTATTCTGGACAATCTGAAGACGATTTAAAATGGACTTATTACAACAGGTAAAAAGAGAATTACAATAATCAATGCGTGAAGAAACAAAAGCATGAATAATCATCTCAAGATCTCCCTTAGATAAAATCTTCCTTAATTTAGATATATTTCTCAAATGAAAGAAGCAATTCCTGACTAACTGTCTTATATGACAGTCAAAGGACATTGCCTGGTCCAACACAACACCAAGGCTTCGAAGGCTCAACTGGACAGAAGAGCCCAACAAACCAAGGTGTTGTTTAATTCAGGCAATCTTAGTATCAGGTGCCACAATAAGTGT